CACAAGTATTTTCCCATATGACGCTCGAAACCCCAATAGAGTTTCACCCGTTTAACGTGAACACTCTGTAGAAAAAACCCGATATTCGCGGTGATATGCAGTGGTCGTAAAATATTTTTTTCACTAGTGTTTTTCATACCACTAGAGTGAAACTCACCAAATATTTTCATTCTTCTACTAATCCTAATACTTCGATTTCCTAAAATTTTCACACATCGTATTTTCCCCCCTTCACCAATTACCTCAACAACTACCACCTCCTCCTCCTCTTCCCCACCCGAAACATCCTTCTTCCTCCCAAAGACCTCCAATTCAACCTCACTATCATCATCATCATCATCATCATCATCACTCGATTCCTCCTCGTCCCCATCAACAGCATTTCCCTTCTTCCCCAACACCTCCAATTCGACCTCGCTATCATCATCATCATCATCATCATCATCACTTGATTCCTCCTCTACCGCATCAACAGCATTTCCCTTCTTCTCCAACACCTCCAATTCAACCTCGCTATCATCATCATCCTCCTCTACCCTCTCCCACGATGAGCTCCCCTGCTCCTGCTCTACCACATCCACATATTCCTCCTCCTCCTCCTCCAGAACAGGTAAGCTCTCCTCACTAGAAGCAGCTATACTCTCTAGGAAAGCGTCGTCAGCCATAAGCGTTTGCCGCAACTTCTCCACAGCATCCTGTCACCAACACACAGAGAGCATCACCCACCCCAAAGTTGGAGTAGGAAAATCCGTTCGCTTTCCTTAGCTGAGCTCAACAGTTCCCACACTGATTATAGGAGTCCACATACGAATCCGTGTAAAAATGTACAGGAATCAATAAAAATTTCCTCCGAAAATTTTCTCAGAATTTCCATATTGTCACCAACAAATATGGTGGACCCCGTATATATTTTCCAACACCGCCTAATACACCGTCACGCGCCACAAAATTCCAAAAATATCTAAACGCCTCTTTAAGCGAAGAAGAGAGCCGATCAAGAGCCCCGCGAT